ATACAAATTTTACAATATAAAGTAAATACATAAAGTCCCATGGTCAAAATATTATATTTACTTTTTATAAAAGTGGTGTCAGCTTTAGCTCAGCATATACTGTTGTCTTCTAATATATATAATATAGAATTTATTTTTTGTTAAACTTTTTTTTGTTTTTAACCTTTCAAAAATCTGTCAAAATAGTACAGTACATACAACTGTCCAAAATTAGGATTTATAGTGATTTTGGTCACATGCATATTATTATATTGTTTGATGACAAAAAAAAAGATACATGAAATACAACTACTATTAAAATATTACTAAAACAACTCTAGCACTGTTGTAATACTGTATTTGGCACATAATACTAATAATATGAATAATTATTATTGTTATTATTCATACTTATGTGAAATAAAAACTGATCATATTTTTTCAATATTTATATCTTTTAAGGTGGAAAATAAATCAGAGGAATTTGTTCTTTATATGGTCCACGAGTCTGGCGGTAGGTTATCATTTTCATAAGGAAAGATTCCGTGTCAGTTGAATAGTGGATTCGTAATTTCTTGATGATTCCAATCATTTTTGTCGTCGGATTTAGAGCGCACCCAATTGAGGGACAGCGAATACCCGCTGGTGACCCGTGTGCTTCACGGACCTTGTGAGATGATCTCCAAAATCTTCATCATGGAGGCAGACCTGGGAGAGGAAGTCACTTACGATGTGAGTTTCATTTCCATCAGGTGACCTCTCAAAATGACCATAGACACACAATGGCCTCATTATAATCGCTTCAAATTAGCACGCAGAGGAAAGGCTTTGGGACTCATCTGACAATAGGCGGCCATGTTGTGATTGCACCGAGAGGAAACCAGATCCTCACATGGAGAAACGCATACGTTGATGTTGGATAAAAACAAACAAAAATGTCAGGTTAAGAAATACATAAAAGATAACGACATCAAATGGACTGCTATTAGTTCAAGCCGTGTGTTTCTCGTGTCACGTTCCATGAGAGAGCTTACCGTAGTTAAACTCTTCAACAGTAAAGCAGCTTTCAGTTGCGTGAACCAGAAATCCTCTTTGTTTCTCATCGGCATCACTCCAAGTCCCAAGTCACATCCTGTGTACAGTACATGCAGCACAATCCTTGCTTTTCACTAACTGAAAGCATTAACTGAAGGCAGCAAGGCACAGTTTCAAGCAGGAAATGAAGGCCCAGCAAAGCACATCCAGGGAGGAAACTCCGAATTTTGTGCTGTCCATTTGCTCTGGACCAGAGCTTCTCTCTAGGGGTACGAGGACCCTTACATGTTTTCCAAGGACTTCCGCATAAACAACCACATTATCTTAGTTGTTGGTTTTGACTTGCCATTTTGAAAAAGGTTTTTTTTTTTTCAATTGAGTTGTGGAGGTTGTAAGTTAAATAGAATTGTAAGTTATATCACAGAAGCTGACATTTGAACAGGGGTGTGTCAACTTTTTATATCTACTATATGCTTGAAACTTTTGACCCGAGGTATGTGCATCCAACCCACGTATATTTTTGCTTCCTTGTGAAGAGTGAGTAGGAAATTTGTTTTGCATGTAGACATTTCGGTACGTGCAATATGTCACAATCATATAAGCGCTTTAAATGGTTAAAATAGGGAAGAGTAATTGGTTTAGTATATTGTGTGTTGGGGGCATTTTTTTTAATGTAGATATGCACTTTTCCTTTAATAATTCAACTTTAATAATTACTTTTTATTTTGCTGACTCTAAATTGTTCATCGGTGTGAACGTGAGTGTGGGTGGTTGTTTGTTTGTTCAGAATATGCCCTGTGATTGGCTGAGCTGAGGACCAGTTGTACGGCTTGTACGCACAGACTAATCCGACAAATAAATAATTTGGGGTAGACTCAAGATCATCCGCAACCCTAATGAGGAGAAGCACAACAGAAAATGGATGAATACTTTTCAGCACCTGAATATTCCCACGGTGAAAGATTACACTTCAATCACATCTTGATTGTTTAAAATATTTTTTTTTCCTTGCATGTTCTCCCCTTGTCAGGTTGCCCAGTACATCAAATTTGAGATTCCGGTTCTGGACAGCTTTGTAGAAAAGCTAAAAGAGGAAGAAGAGCGGGAAATAAACAAACTGATGAAAAAGTATGTGAACAATGTTGACTGTGAATCATACAAAGCCGTCCTCATTCAATATGTCCAATTGCGTTATGTGAGGCCGACATCCTTATCTCCTGCACATTATAAAATCAAAACAAACTTGTCTGTCAATGGAGCCAGTGTTATTTTAACTGCTGCAGTCATATGAGGGACATTCCTTCATCGGAAGCCAATCAATGTGATCATTTAACTGCTATATCTAAAATCTATTTCCAAGTATCTGTGAAGTGTCCCGGGGTGTACTGAAAGGCATTAATTAAATCTCATGTCTTCTTCTTACTATTATTATTAGTAGTGGTAGTAGTACCATTCAACTATTTTTACTTATTTATTTATTTATTTATTTATTTATTATATCTATTTCTTTTTAAATATAATACAGGTGATGTGTTTTCTTCCCCCTGTGCAGGTACATCGCATTGAGGTCAATGATTGTCCATCAGCTGGAGTGCAAAACTCACCCCTGTGACCCAGTATAAAGGGTGTGTGTGTGTGTGTGTGTGTGTGTGTGTGTGTGTGTGTGTGTGTGTGTGGATAGTCCTATTTATATATTCACAATTTGTATGACACATTCTTACTGCTTACATGTGTTTTTGTCATGTAATCTGATCGTAATGTTTTCTATGACTTTTATGTAATAAATCAACTGTGTGGCCTTAAAGTTGTTTCTGTTCTCATCAAAGCAAACATGTCATTGAAAAAAAGAGACAAATCATTTCCTGTTCTGCTGCTGAAACTGATGAGTCTTAGCATTGTTCTTTGGAGTGAGCCTTTTTGCCAACTAGTTCCCATGTGCCTCTTGCATGAGAGCGTGTGTGTGTGTGTGTGTGTGTGTGTGTGCGCGCGCATGTGCGTGTGTGTTACACAATGGAGTATCCTGAGAGAGAAGGGCCGTTCCTTGTTTCCCACACTTTGGCGAACAGTAAGAAGTGTTGACTGTTGTCATTTTGCAGGGCTAACCTTGACCTTCAGTCAGTCCACTATTATAATTAGTTGAGTAATGCAATTACTTATGCTCTATATCTTTAATCACATCCCCTTTCCTTTGGTCGCGACCCCGTGGGAGAATACGCTCGATACATTCGGACTGAAAATGACATCACAGTGCCTCAGGGCTCAGGTGACGTTTGGTCATGTGAAGTGTGCAGGCTGAACGCTTAGGCACTGTGATGTTATTTTCAGTTGACAGCAAGTGGCAGTACAAAGCAAAATGGCAGCACCTACGGATGGCTAAAAAAGGAGTGGATTTTTCATCTTAACCAATCTTCCACAAACACACTATTTATCAGAATACGGGGGAACATAGAACATATTAATCTGAGGAAAATGCTTTAAAGGGGTCATATATTATGCAAAATGTACTTTTTATTTGATTGCATAAACTTTCTGGAGTGCCTGCTCAGCTTTGAAACTAAACCCATCCATGGAATTGATTAACAAAATAACCACAGTCACACCGAGTATCTCCACCAGTTAGTATAGGATCAGCAGAAGCGGGTGTAAATCCTGAGTGACTTTCAAGGCCAGAGTCCATACACCAATGTTTTTATTGTCTTAATGGGTACTCGCTTTCAGGCCCCCACGTTCTGGGTTCTGCTTGCGCAAGTAGATGCAAGCAGCTGGCAAACACTGACTAGTGAGCCAACATGCCATTACTTTGTACTTACCTATACAGTACCTGCCAGTACTTTGACTAGTCTCTTGTCAAAAAATACAAGATCCTGCCTCAGTTGTCACGGCAATGAAGGTCGAGCTCGCCATAGAACTAGCAATTATGAAATGAAGGTTGGCTCACTTGCAAGAGACATCCACCCCTTAAAAGTCTGAATTTAGTAAGACAAGAATTAGGGTAAGTATGCGTTAAGGCCTTTATCTTGAGGCATTTTGTTGAAAGACGTGGGAACTCTTCACTTGCAGAAAAAAAATGCATGATGTCCCCATTAATACCAGTACTTAAAGCAGTACTGTATTGGGTCAATACTCATATTTTCCGTAAAAAAATAAAAAAGATTGTTTATCCAGTTTAGCTCCTCCTTACTCCTCCCTCAAACACACATAACATCCACCCTCCAGCAGTAAAACAATCCACAGTACCTCAATACGCAATAAAAAAATAACCTGCTCACTGAACGACTTTTTCAAAATACTGACACAAAGGTCTTACTAACACACAACAAAAACCGACCGTGGTTTCTATCACATTTAAACTTTGCAGAATAGGGCAAGGGAGGACCTCAACTGCCCAGGGCCTCTCTCAGCTTTCCTATCATGCCCCCTGCTGGCCAAACATTTACTTCAACTTTCCTTCTAAATGTACAGTACTGTATAATGTAGTTAGATGTTGACAAGTGTAGTCTGTTGTTGAAAAGATAAAACGACTCTCCTACAATACAGTGGAATGTTAAAAAATACTTCCTGCAACAGTTAACATGATTTTCAGCCAATATTCGGATTTGCAGATTTAAAAAATCATTTGATACTCTAAGAATTGGATTTAATTGGATGTTGCAGGTGAGCCAATAGAAATTGGTGATTTTTGGAAATCAATGTTTTTAATGAAAGAAAATAAAGACAAGGGTTCAGGGATAACGAAAATTCATTTTTATTTTTTCATTTTTTAAACCAGGTGTAATTTTAGTCATTTTCTCAAATTCTGGACGCTTTTTGGGGCTATTCTGAGACACTTTTCATTCTTCCTGGGTGACCGCTGAGAAGTTAGTTAATAACATTTTAAATCCAAACCACTGACGTGCATTAATTAGTTAGATATCTCTTACTTGAAAGGTGGCCAACGCCGTTCCCTAGCGGTAGATTACCGTAATGCACGATATGGGCAATCGTTGGGGGTTGACTTTTATTTTGCTATTGGAGGCTGGCCTGACAGCACGTTTACATGTTCAGTTGCACAACGCGAAACTCAACAACCAGGGGTTACCTCACTTGCACTTGGAAGCAAAGCAACGTCCAGTGAATTGACGAAGCCTTTTTGTTTCTGCGTTAAACCGGTCAAGTAGAGAGTCTTAATGTCGTTGGGCGCCGACGCTAGAATAGTCATCATCGGATGCGGAATATCAGGGATAGCTGCAGCACACAGACTTATTAAAGCAGGGTTTAATCATGTGAGGATTCTTGAAGCGACTGGAAGAAGCGGAGGGAGAATTAAAACGGGCAAATTTGGTGAGTACAACAGGGAACGCAGTTTTTCTCGACCTGGAGTTCATTTTGTGGATCTCGTGTTACGAGCCGAGTGTACTGACTCTTCGGTTTACGACGGAACGCCTACTAGGGCGACCGAACGCGAGTGTTTTACTCCACTAACCTCGTCCAGCGCAACTACAGTTCATAGTTGAATGAAAAAAACACCTATTATTGTCCATTAATATTTAACTCGACTGAACAACTGGAAGTACAGTACAACGATAAAACTTGTTGGCAGGTCTTGTACCGCTGCGAGTTTATTACCGAACTGCCTTTCGCATGCGTATGTTAGATTTGAATTCTAATCTTCAAAGTACTGTAACTCATACTAGCCCTTACACCGTAGCGCCATGATGTGAAATATATCGTAAATCTTTATATGTGCGTGTGTGTGTGTGTGTGTGTGTGTGTGTGTGTGTGTGTGTGTGTGTGTGTGTGTGTGTACTGTATATGTATTAAAACCGACATAAAATAAAATAATAAAATACATTTATAAGAGGGAAAAAAATACAAAACACATTTTTTTTAAAAAGTACCCATACCAGTGTTTCCACAGTAATTGTAAACGCAACTTGGCATCAGTTCTGAGAAGCATTCAAACGGCATATAAAAGAATACATAAGATTCAGTGTTAGATAGCCCACATAACATGCAGCGCAGTCTGTACATATAATCGTCATTACAAATTTGAACATTAATGACATGTGCCAGATATTTGCAGACGAGAGAAACAATTTGCCCTTACAGGTAAAATGATGGAAATGCAAGCTCTTGGACTCCTTGTGCTCTGCAAATGTAACATTGTTTTGGGCTTTGTATCTTAACATCAAATTGGGCACCATACTTGGAGCATATTTTGCATAGCTGTTGAAATCCAGCCCTGATAGGAGAGAACATCAACAGATCATCAGCATACTGGTCAATAGAATCAGTTACCACTCATACATCCTGTTTTACAGCCTCTCAATTGATGAGATAAATTATTCATTTGCACATTGGGGCTGGTGAAAGTAAGCCTCCCAGCAAACTCCATTACCAACAACAAACCATTCATACATATGGAAAATGTATAGTCTTAAATACACAGTACCTAACCTATGTTTTTGGAATGTTGGAGGAACATACAGTTCACAATAACCGACCAATTGTGCCTTTTGTGTATAGGTGATAACATAGTGGAGATCGGGGCCAACTGGATCCATGGACCATCAAAGGAGAACCCGGTCTTTTGTTTGGCTCAGCAATATGGCCTGCTTAGTCCAGAGGCGCTCACCCCGGAGAACCAGGCAATGGATGTTGGAGGACATCCTCCCTGGATCTCCAGTGTCTTCACCAGCACAGGTCACTCTTGAGAAAACCTCTTTGTCAACCAAATAAGACGTGATGAACTCATGTGGTGCTACTCTCCTAATGAAAAGGTCGCAAAATGAGCCTTGACGACCTGTCCCCTGCTGTGGAGATGTACAAAGAGCTTTTGGATGAGAGTACACAATTTTTGGAGAGGGGAGAACCCTGGCCCAGCGTGGGCCAATTTATACGTGCAGAGGTATGATCAGCATGTCCATGTTCAACCAGAACTTGACTGTAACATTTTTTTCTTGCTTGGGTGTAGGTGCTACAGAGATCAGCGGAGAAGTGGAAAGCAGACAATGCAGGATGTTTGCAGCGGTGCATGTTCACCACCCTGCTGAAGGTGGAGTGTTGCATTTGTGGTTCTCACACCTTGGATGACCTGGGCTTGGGTGCAAGTGGCCTCTATAAATCAATACCGGGACTTGACTGCACCTTCCCAGGGTTCGTAGTCCAACATCGTCTACATGAAACATGCAGACTATGCATATTCAATACCTCAATAACTGTTCATGGTATAAGTAAAGATAACACTTCTTTGCCATACCAAACAGCCCTTTTCCTACTCTAATGAGATTAAATACAAGAGCTGTATTCAAACTTCAAGGTGTGAAAAGAACAAAAAACATCCTGTAAATTGTTGTAATGGAAGTAAATGAAAGTAGCAATAATAAATAAAATCCACATACATTCATCTCATATCCCAGTTCTGTATTCTGTGTCTTATTTCAGAGGTTATGAAGGTCTAGTAAGAAACCTGATGTCAGAGTTGCCTGCTGGCGTGGTGAGCTACAACCAGCCAGTTAGCTGCATCCACTGGAACAACTCTGACAAGAGAGATGCACAGGTGAACGTGGAGTGCCATGGCGGGAAGGTAGTGGCTGCTGATCATGTGATCGTCACGGTTCCTTTAGGTATGATCACGCTTCAGGACTTAAGTCATTTGCTCCCCCTTGAAGTCACTACTGTATCAAGCTGTTCTTACTTCTGTTTGGTCAGGTTACTTGAAGAAGCACCATACGTCACTGTTCCGTCCTCCCCTTCCTCTGCACAAAATCCACTCAATCCAGAGGTTTGGCTTTGGCACCAACAATAAAATATTTGTGGAATTTGATTCGCCCTGGTGGGATGAGGACTGTGAGGTCATCTACTTTGTGTGGGAAGACGATGTGAGTGAATTCATGAAGATGGAGATTTGCTGCTACTTCGGCTTTGTCATATGAGTAGTACCGTTTAAGTGAACCTATGTCTTAACATTGTTGAATCGTTGTTGAATGCTATCCTCTTTGTCAAGGCAGAATTGTGACGATGTACTATGACCTAATGCATATCTTCTGCCTTTTCTGCATCATTGGTGATTAATCTTTACAACCTAAAATTTAATCTGTTGTTGGTCATCACATTGTTCAGGACACCATGGTCGACCAGGTGGAGGATGTTCCAGGATCCTGGATTAAGAAATTGGTCGGCTTCACTGTGGTAAAACCCAGTGAAAGGTCAGCAGTTATGGATTCCTATGCTCATCTTTATCAGATCATGCCCAAAAGTGTAGGTTGCATTTTTAGGGTTTGACGCTCTATTTATGGACCAAATTTCTTGAAAATAATTCAACAATTATTTCTCAGCAAAAGCCAATTTGATGGATTGAATTAACAATTAAATACAAACATGCGCAACCGTATTTAGTGGCACCTGCCTTTTATACAGAAAGTTACAACAACATGTTGACACAAATGCACAGACAGTATACTGCATTCCCAAAACATGCTTGTTGGGTTCATTGAAATTTTCCATTGGCGTCAAGAAAAGTGTGATTGCTTGTTTGTCTAAATGTGCCCTGCAATTGACTGGCGGCCAAATCAACTGTGATAGGCGCCAACTCACCCGTGACCCTGATGAAGAAAAGCAATACACAAAATGTTTTTCTTTCAGCAGTGATAACAGAGAGGGTGCAATTGCTTGTTTTGAGTGGTGGGTTGAAAAAAAGTCTTTACACCTCCAGGTACGGCCATATTTTGTGTGGCTGGATCGCTGGGAAGGAATCACATTATATGGAGACTTTGTCTGAGCAGGAGGTCATGTATGCCATCACCCAGCTTGTCCGCAGGTTTACAGGTGAATGTTAGTCTTTTATGCTTTTACTGCTCAAGATTGACTTTTTTGTAATTAGTTTTGCGTGTGCGTGCGTGTGTGTGTGTGTGCGCGCGCGCATAGGTAATCCCATAATCACTCCGCGGAAAATCATGAGGTCTCAATGGTTTCACGACCCCTGGACATGCGGATCATACAGTTACCCTTCAAGAGGCTGCTCATTGCAGGACATCGAGAATTTAATGGAGCCTGTGCCGTCTAAGCAAACGCTCTCACAAGTACTGACGTTTCAAACATTAAAAAAAAAAAAAAACAAGAAAGGTTTATAACAAACTTGTCTGGCGTGTTCTTCCCAGCCGCTCCAAGTGTTGTTTGCTGGAGAGGCGACTCATCCCTCCTACTTCTCTACCGTCCATGGAGCTCTTCTCACTGGCTGGAGGGAAGCCGACAGGCTCCTCGCTCACTACTCCCCTGCCGCTCGGTCTGAACAACCAACCAAGTCAAAGCTGTAAAGGAATTATGCAAGATGAAGTTATTTCAATGTAACTTGATCTTAATCTTGATCAAGGTTTAGCTATCTTTGTAAAGAAGTAGCCTCAAAGGAAAAGCAGCTAAATTGTCTAAATGAGGAGAAATTGGTTTTGCTGTTTTGGAGAGCAACAAACATTACCTTGTAAAGTAAGGGGATATGCAAAAAAAGTTTACTTTATTCCTACCTGCCACACTCATCAATTTAACATGAAACATTGTTATTAATTACATACTGCTACAAGTCTCACTTTAAGATATTGAAATTGTATTTGAAGTCTTTTTTCCATAATATGCAACTTTTAATTTTATTTACTTGTGAGGGTGATGTTCAGTATTTCCATAATATGCAACTATACAAAAAAAAAATTTTAATTTTATTTACTTGTGAGGGTGATGTTCAGTGTTGAACCGTTTCACATGAAATTCTGCCCCTATTCCACTTGCGTAAATAAATGACAAGTGGTTAGTATCTGCTTCAACAGTTTGCTTCAACAAGCTGCAGCACAGTGGGCCCCATGACGGATAAGTGCTGTAGAAAATGATTAGACAGCAACATTATTGCATAAGTGTGCCTCAGCTTGCCAAAATAAAAAGCCAATATAAAAACTGAATTTTTATTCTTTTTCACTTCATGAAATATGGGAGCAAAAGCAAATGCGTTATGTTTTAAGTTATTGCGTCATTTTTTAGTTTATCTTCATTTAGTTGACATTGTAAACATTTGATTTTCACCAGACCCCAGCAAATATGCGTCCATAAAATACAGTAGTCAGAATGTATTTGTGGTACAGGACTGGTTATTTAATGTACACAGTGCTGCGCATGTCTCGATTCAAACGGGAAGGAAAAGCGGAACTAGTTTTAAGTTTTTAGTTCTGAGTCGGCGTGTAAATAGTGGTGCGCAGAATGTCCATTTATTTATTTATAAATCGTGACTGGGAGAAATACCGACCGAGGCACAGATGTGACCTTTGAAAGTCACATACATATTTACCAAGGCCATGAAATTGTACCAGTCACTTTGCGATGTCGCCAAATTTCGAAGCGCATTCGACTTTGGAGGACGGGAAGTGGCTCACTGGTTCCCTGGACACATGGCTAAAGGTGACTGCAAGTAAAGTAATTGACATTAAATAAATGCATTCTTTCCTGAATACGGATTTGTAGTGAACTGATTTCTCTTTTTGACTGTGGTCAGGGCTGAAGAAGATGAGAGCCAGTCTGAAGAGTGTGGACTGCATCATAGAAATACACGATGCTAGAATATCCTTGTTGATGAAGCTGCGTGTTAGTTCGCGCTCAAAGTACTCCGATAAAACATCTTTAACTTTAACATTAAGTACATCCCCTTGTCTGGAAGAAACCCTGTGTTTCAGGAGACTCTGGACATCAAACCACATCTGCTTGTTCTCAACAAGATGGACTTGGCTGACTTGTCACACAAACAGGTGCTGTTTGAATTAATGGAACCTTAATTTAAAACAAAAAACACACTACTGTACACTCACTTGGATTCATTCCCCATAATTGTCTGCAGTACAGAATCGATATCAAGCAGAATATTGTGGAGAACTTAATTTATTTTTGTGGTTAAGTAAAGAACTTGTGAAATGAAGGAACTTTTCAATTCGAGATGTCCTTACGTGCAGTTTCATTTATACAGTATGTAATTTGTCATTTTTTTCTCTCTGCAGAGGATCCTGAAGGAGCTTGATAGAAGTGGCGTGAAGAATGTTCTTTTCACTAACTGTTTAAAGCAAAGAGACAACAACGTTACCAAGGCATGCGTCGTCCCTGAATGGCCAATATATTTGATTACCGGCCTTCATTAATGATCGTATTAATTAAAAGCCCTCGTCCTCTCACTTTTTTGTGCAGTTGGTGCCGACAGTTCTGGAGATGATGACGAAGTCATGCCGTTTTCACAGAGAAGAGGTACACCCCGAGTAAAACAGGCAAAGACTCTTAACAACCTCATACAATGAGGATATTGAATTCAAAGTGTCACATGGAGTAGTCCATGCCTTATTTTGATAATGACATGCAAATATACATTATTCCAGAATCGTAATTATTGCCTGATGGTGATTGGAGTGCCCAATGTGGGAAAATCATCACTTATCAACTCCCTCAGAAGGACACATTTGAAAAAAGGTACAGTTTTTTTAGATACTTTAGGCTGTCTTTATTATGAGCAACACGAATAAATGAGATGTCCCGTTCAGGCCGTGCATCTCCAGTAGGTGGAGAGCCTGGTATAACTCGAGCTGTCCTCACTAGGATTCAGGTCAGTGGTGTGTGTATTGTTTTTAATATAGTTTTTGTTATTGTTCTTCTTCATTATATATAATGGTCTGTATCATTCTCAGGTGTGTGAACGTCCCATGATGCACCTGTTGGACACCCCAGGTGTCTTGCCCCCAAACATAGAGAGTGTCGAGACGGGCATGAAACTGGCGTTATGTGGTGAGCAGGCGAAACAAGCTAATTTAGTGATTCCCAGCAGAAATTATCCAGTCCCACCCCCCATCCCCCTCATTCCATTTTCATCAAAATCCTTACGTGTTTCCTAAAACTAATGTTAAGCTTTATTCATGTGTATATTTGCCACCGATGTCGAGAGATGGGCAGAACGATTAAAATCTTCCAATTGCGTGTGCTCTGAGATTTTTCCAGTGTAAAAAAAAAAAAAAATCTGTGGTTCTATTCAGGTTGGGGAACTGTGCTAAATCACTGCTTTAATTGAACTGTGTTGGAATAAGTGCTTCTCTCGTCTCTCTCCAGGAACTATCCTGGACCATTTAGTGGGTGAGGATATCATCGCTGACTACTTGCTTTATTCTCTGAATCGGCTTGGAAATTTCAGGTAGCAATTGCGTGTGTGTGAGCCAACGTTACATGATCAGTGTTGCCATTTTAGGTCTCTATTGGTCCGTTTTGTTGTGTTTGTGTGCAGTTACGTTGAAAAATACGACCTGCAAGAGCCTAGCGACGACATCCAACATGTCCTCAAGCACATCGCTGTGAAGCTCAGGAAGACTCAGCGTGTCACAGCCATCACTGGAGTGGGTGAGAGAGAACACCGCTTACAAATACAACCAAATATTGACAACCAGAAATAAAATGTTAAAGTGCTTAGAAGAATAGTTTTATCAAAGGGCTTTTCTTAGGATTAAATAATATATCATAAAACAAGTACAAGGAGACCAATACGTCATCACTCATATTATCAGTGTGTTATTTGGGTTGTCCAGTAAACAAGGGATGCATGAATGAATGCTGGATTTTATTTTGGCCATCCAGTACCACAATAATCTATAACACCTTACATTAAATTTCAACTCTCCAATATTTGAATTAACATTTCAAGATGTGTAGCTGTCATGCAGGTGGAATTTGAAGTTCACCACTTTAATATTACTACAGAATTAGTCAAACACATTTAATCAGTGTTAATGCGACATTGTGGGTGCCTTATCCACCTATCTTCTCTAAAAATAATTTAATCACTGTAAAAAAAGCAAAAGGAATAAGGTTCTCTCGCTTTCATTGCAAGTGACGACAATGGTGATGGTAGACCTAAGTGTTGAGACACCACGCGATTCTTACTGCTTTGCACGTGAAGAAAATAAAATACAATTATGATTCTCTTTCTTCTCTTATCGTTTTGTTAGGGAGTATGTTTACATACATGTTTTGACAAATGACGTTATTTTAACATTATCTGCAAAGGAAAAAAAATCTTTATTATTTCTGTGATCCAAGTTAATGCTGGGGAAAGCCACGCTGGATAAAAGTGTTTTCTTTGAAGAGATACAAAGCAAATACCAGAAACATTAAGATGCGCCACTGAATGATAACAGTGTTTTTATTCTTCTTTAGGCAATGTCAACATCATCATTCCAAACTACGCAGCAGCAGCGTACATTTTCATCCGAGCTTTTAGGAAAGGAGAGCTGGGCCAAGTGATTCTGGACTAGGAGGACTCATTCTAATGGATGCACCTGTATATTTATACATTGTAAGTAAAATGCATCATGCATGATGTAGTTTGAATGTGTCTTGCTTTTAGAATGAAAAAGGCACATGTCTTTTGGAGTTGGTTTAAACTTGTTTATTTGCATTGAGACAGATAACAAAGGTATTCTGTACCGCACACAAGTGTTCCATAGATAAGGTCAACAAGAGGAAGAATCTTTGGGGATACATCAAAACCTGTTTTGATCAGCACCACATCTTTATACCTGACTCACAAAGATACTGAATTTCCCCAAATAGTGTCCACCCCTCTAATATGACACAATGCCCCAACTTGTCATCCACAAAAAAACAAAGCCTCTCATTTTCTGTTGGGAAAATGGGTCGTAATGGCCATGATCTCCGCTCAAAGACTTGGAATTTTGAACTCTGTTGTTAACAGCAGCACCTGCCCAGCCTCGTAAACAATCCCTCAGTTGAATTCGAGGGTGGAGTCAGCATATGATGTAAATAATTTCCCCTGGGCATTATATTAAAAGATCTTAGATGCCTCTCCCATCTGTAGGTGAGTAAATAAACCCCTGGCCAATAATTAGACACACAGATACTAAACCAACATTTCTGAATGAGAATATAGTTGATCCTGCGGAGGGATAGCCTCATTTGTTCTCTGAAAGTGTTCAAAAATTACTGAGGCAATGATGCTATTAGGCTAAGGAGATGCATATTCAAATGGACTTTTGATCTTTGTGTATTCTTCAGACTTGATATATTTTTTCAACCCGTTTGGTCCACAACACTCAAGCTGGTGCAAATGAGTTAGTGCATTTTACGTGTAAGTAAACAGTGCATTGTTTGCTTTGTGATCACAAATTTGTTTTCCCGCCAGTCTTTCCAGTTGCTTCCAGCCTGTCCTGCATTGATCAGGTCCAGCGCATTTCTCCTTAACAGCTCATTACAACATGTAGTCCCACAAAAGTATATAGTTGGAGGACAGTGTTGCCATGGTGATAGAGAACATTTGGCAGAAGGATGTTCCCGCTGTGGAGCCAGACATATGGGCATCAAAGTAACCGGTCCTGTTGTAATAATCCAGCTCCTCATCGGAGTCGGCGTTGCTGCGGCGGTAAGCAGACGCGTACCATTTATCCGCGGTCAGGGCCACTGCAGCCCCAGCAGCCGCAGCGGCGGCCACACGCACTGGGGACGTCCGGCCCACTGCCCTGAAGCGAGACCGCGGACCGCCATAACCACCCGCTCCGCGGTACGAGCCCCCTATGGAGTTGCGGGCAGGGGAGCCTCTGGACGAGCCTCTGGACGAGCCCCGGGAACCCCCACGGCCCCCTTTACAAAGCACAGGCTCGCACAAGAAGGTGGAGAGCAGGAGGAACATCCAGCAGGTTGCGAGCACCTGGTTCATCTGTGCAGGAGGGCAACCATAGAAGAACATTTTACTAAGATGTGATGAAGGGGCTCATTAACATTTTTTAAAAGGACTACAAGTTTGTTTACATAATTCAGAAATTATTTTACTGCGATTACCTCTGGTATGAGTAATAATCAATGTTATTCAGATGTGGAGCCCTGAGGAACAGTATGGAAAGTGACTTGAGATAATTTATTCTTGTTGCAAATTGGTCTCACGTAATGGTTTACATATTCTCAACTCAACTGTATTTGTAGAGCACTTTAAAACAACCACTGCTGTATACAAAGTGCTGTACATGAAGAAAATATCATATATATACAACAATAAAACAATACATTAATAACGAAGACAGTAGAAAGCACAAAAACAGTAAAAGTAAGATCAAATCGGAGTCAAAAGCCAAAGAATACAAATGAGATTTGAGACTAGTTTTATTGATGGGCAGCGAGGGGGCTTGACGACAAAGCAAAGACAAATTAACAAAAGATGGTTAATACATCATGACAGATTTTTAAAAAAACTTTATATACCTCATGAGACGCTGTGATAATATCGCTGAAATATGATGGATTGTGCTATGATCCTCATTACTGTCACATCACTGCTTTTATGGCTGTCTCCTCAGGTGTAAGCAAAACAAGTCCATTATTTTGGAAATGACAGTTGTTTGAACATGAGAAAAACAAATTCTCCGTGTATCATATTTTACATTTTAGTTATAGAAAAAAATGTAGTACCCATTCACTGAGCATTCTCAAACATCGATGTCAAATACGTTGATGCTGTCGAAAGCTGATGCACTGTGCACATTGCATAGGTTGAAACAAAATTTTTTACTTATTTCCTTCAAATAAACATGCTAGAGAAATGAGAGGTTATGCCAAACCACAAATGAACTATATACAAAAATATAGAAAAAGTTTGGAATTAATGCACCTGATTGATAATGAGACAGCAATGGTAATCAATATAAGCTTGGCGAATCGAACAATATGCACAGACCGCACGCCATATTTTCCAGTGTACCATTATTCATCTTCATCCAACCCTGTTAATTAGCCTACTAGGTCATTGTAGCCTTCATGTAATGGATCTTATCAAGATGCTCCCATCACATAATAATCAACGCATCCTTGTGGTTGGTGCCTACCTTGATCCTTGTTTATCTTCAACACAAAGAAGAAGAAAGGTGGTCAAAATGGTCACGGGGATGCTGGTGCGCGTTCATGTGGATGGCAGCGCGGGAACGAGCAAGCACGGGTAGGCGCGTTGCCGCTACACGTCAGCGTCTCTGTTATATTGGTAGTATCTGCGCAGTAAACATACTGCCACTCAGTGCCTTGAACTTAAAACGACAACCTACATGGTATGCAAAATTTATTAACTCGCGATTACACTGATAGAAATAAATTAGGCATCTTCGTCCATCGCGCCCCTTTGCCACATGCGAGATGGCAGCCAGCTTGACGTAAAATTCCAAGCCAATCTAGGGTCAGGTTACAGTTGATGTATGTGATAGCCTCGAGCCAGTTCACCGAATTCTTAATGTCTATTCACCACATCATATACTATCCATCTATACTGTATTTATCTATCCATCTAGCTGACTAGAAGTGTGTTGCGTGTCAGGTATATAGCGAAATAAGTAACTATCATGCTAATTATCTCGCTGTGTCAATATAGTAATAACAGCAACGTACGCTAGCTGGCGGTAAAGCTATGCTACATTTGATCCTGAACCGCTGTTAAACCACGAAGAAGAAACGTACCAGGAAACGCTGTACAGCGTTGCTTGTAGCACAAATTTACAGCCAAACACCCCTGTTTGGGTAGGCCATGGCGTTTGTCTGTAGAAATGCTGCCGCACTACTGAAAACGAGCCGCGCTGCACCCACCTTGGTCTCGGCCGCCGCCCGTCTGTGCAGCTCGGGTCAGTGTTGAAGACACGACTGCGTTTCGTTCTTCAATGTCAAGTATAGCTACGTCACTAACTCTGTAAACTACTCTTCGTTGCACTCAGCTATGAAGTAGAAAGCTATTATTAGTGCACAGGTTGCATTGTGTCCCTGTATCCGATGTCAACATAGCAACGTTATTTATTATTTGTTATTTATTTTACTATAGTAGTGAGTGGTGACAGTGGTTGTGCACGTATCATCACTTACATTATGACACGTATGAGACTTTATCTAATGCAGTGTTTGTTAATTCATCTTTATTGAGCCAAGGCAAGCAAACACAAAAAGTCATATATACGTGTGTGTGTGCGTGTGTATATATATATATATATATATATATATAGGGCCAGTAAAAAAACTACTGTAAATAATCACTGTTTGCCCTCCCTGCAGGTGTCCAATATGAGTATATTATGGTGGAGAAGCGAGGGGAGAAGAAGAATGTGGGTTTCATCCAGTTGAATCGACCTAAAGCTCTTAATGCGCTATGTGACGGCTTGATGAAGGAGATGGGTGAGGCCTTGGACGCCCTTGAGAGCGACAGAGACGTGGGGGCCATCGTCATCACCGGCAGCGACAGAGCGTTTGCAGGTGAGGGGGAATATTAAGAATATAAAGTGTTGTTGCCAAACTCTGAATTAAGACACAACATGGCTCATCTTTTCTGTCTTGTTTAGCTGGAGCAGACATAAAAGAAATGCAGAATCAAACTTTCCAGAAGTGTTTCAGTGGGAACTTTCTGGCTCATTGGAACAGAGTGTCCACTGTGAAGAAGCCCGTGATTGCTGCGGTCAATGGATTTGCTGTGAGTGTCTCTGTTTTGCAAGGTCCACATTACAGCAATATAGAGCCTAATATGGCTCATATCCTGTTCAAACATGCTTGTCAACACTCATTAGATCCTTATCCTCAGAGGATGACGATAACGCATGTTTAGGCCTTGACAGCCTCTGCTAATTTTGTTCACTGTTTCAGTTGGGAGGAGGCTGCGAGTTGGCGATGATGTGTGACATCATCTATGCTGGAGAGAAGGCACAATTTGGCCAACCAGAGATCCTGCTGGGGACAATCCCTGGTATGACTGTGTACACACCTTGTGCCATTCCTCATTTTCAGTTCATATAAAGTCCTCCGAGGGACGGAGGGATGATGTCGCAACGTCGCTGCCTCAGTGCACGTTGTCACAAGTGCAATCAATCATTTCATTGTCAGGGGAAAACACAAGCAAGCTCAACAAACATAGAAAATAAGCATCTCACCTCACAGACATGCTTTTCGGCAGCCCAACTACATGTTCTAACCTTGTTGCTCTACACAAAGCTTTTATACTAAATAATTGTTTATATCACCTTTAACAGTATTTAGTGATTTGTTCAAATAATTTGATTTGTTTATGTACATTGTCGTTGTAGTTGCAAGACAAGTACATTTATTAACACAAAAAATAACGATCGGAATCCCATTAAGGCACCTGATCAATAAGCAGTGGTGTTAAGAGTAGTAGTATCGATGCAATCTTATCAATACCCTCCCCTAGTGTGTACCCTACGTTAGACTCCACTTTGACTTAAAATCCATCTGAGCCACATTTACCATCATGTCTCGTCTCCCTGCAGGGGCTGGCGGTACCCAGCGTCTGACCCGTGCGGTGGGCAAGTCTCTGGCAATGGAAATGGTGCTGACCGGAGATAAAATTAATGCCCAAGAAGCCAAGCAGTCAGGTACGATAACGGTGTGCTACTTCAAATCAATAATCTGCTAAACAATAAAACACCAACCTCAGTCCTGAAACAAACCCAAGTTTTAACCATGACTATTTCCATAAGTGTGCCGTTTGCTTCTAAATCAGCAATTCCCAGCTTTTGAGCCACGGTACATATTTTCACAATCACTGTTCGACACATTAGGCTCCTATTTATTTGCATTCATTGTCATTCAGCATCCGACTTTTGTGTTGCCATGCGCAGGTTTGGTGAGTAAAATTTTCCCCGTGGACCAGCTGGTGTCCGAAGCGGTAAAATGCGGCGAGAAAATTGCTGCTAATTCCAAACTGGTGTCCGCCATGGCCAAAGAGGCAGTTAATGCAGGTCAGGCCACATTAAGTGAAACTTGTAGCACGCATTGTAATCAAATGAAGTTGAAATTCATGTCATTTTCCGCCTTGCGCACTTTCAGCCTTTGAGATGACTTTGGCCGAGGGGAATCATATGGAAAAGCGTTTATTCCACGCAACGTTTGCAACGGTAATATGGCACACCTGCATGGTCCACTTTCATAAGCATGGAGACTTGCTTTGCATTGCATTACATTACATTTGTGCTGTTGATTTCTAGGATGATCGCAAGGAGGGCATGACTGCATTTGTGGAGAAGAGAAAGGCCAATTTTCAGGACAAGTGATCTGCTAATCAAGTTGAATGATAGCAATGGAATGTGGAAGATGTTTTGCCTCGCTGCCTAGCATTTGCCCAGTGGAATTTTTACCCAGCCAATCAGTGAACAAATATGATATTCCAATAATATACTGTACCATCATGAAATACAATCATGAATGAACAAAGCAAGCCAGTCTTGTGCATACTGCAAAAAGGGACAATGGGGTTGACCTTTTCAATTTTAATGAGTGCCTTATTATTAAGGCTTACATTTGAATTTGAATGATTGAATGCACAATGTGATTTTTTTTTCCACTTAAAAGGTAATCAGCGGAAGGAATCACTTGTAGCATTTTTTTCCACTGTCGTTCCTTTTTTGTGTATGTACATTTTGCAAATAAATCAAATGAATTGATGATGATGACATTGTTGGTCTGAATAAAATGAATGCTGTCTATTAGTGAATCACAAGTACAGTATATCCATATCCATCGTTTCTTGATAGCGCTGAGGGTCTCAGGTGGTTGAGCCGGAGGCTTTCCCAGGTGACTTTGGACGGAGGCGAGTTATACTTGCACGCAGCCAAACACACTCATTCACACCTGCGCTCAATGACAAGTCTTTAATAAACCTAACGTGCATATTTTTGGAATGTGAGAGGAAGTGGAGTAGTGTGGGAAGAACACAAGCACTGGGACAGAATGTTCTCACTGCTGTTCAACAATTTTGCTACTGCGTGTTTTTATGTCATGCTAATTGTATTCTTTTTTGAAAAATTCCATACAAATGTTTGCTTTTAGATGACTCCTACAATGTAGCAACTGTCGGGGGTTCGCCACTAGAGGGAAGTCACGTGCAGTTAAAAGTGTCAGGCAAAAGAAAATGCAGTGGTAAAAAAAAAAAAACGCATTTTTTTTTAAACCTATACTCTTTTTGTTTCTTTTTGTGGTGTCTGAAATGCTAATCTATACTGGAATTAATATAAGACTATAATGGTCACAATGTCCATAAAACATGCTTGCGATTGTTTTTAATACATAAACATTATAGCTTTAACTGATGCAACTGGACTGCTGAACTTGTTTTTGGAAAATGTTTAAAAATAGCTGGCCAATCTCGCCATTGGGCTGGCGATTTATAAATGTATATTTATAAAGTGTTCATTGTTCAAACATCGTCTTAGAAAGAATCTTGCGTGACTGCACTGAGGCCGAAATTGCTCGGCTTCGTTAACTGAAAATAAAACAATTACAACTAGTTTTTCCATATTCAAAAAATGAGTCCAAGTCCATTCTTGACTTCCTTTCAAATATGCAAGCAATTCGTGGAGCTCGTTAGGGTCCAAAATAAAATTAACTCCCAGAAAGTAACCCCCCCCCATCCCCCACACCCTCTGGTCCATTTTTTTATGCACTCTCTGATGTTCACACGTATCTCGCCCTCAAGGCCATGGCCTAATTGATTTTTATTTTTCATTCAATATTCTCCCGTAGAGTTGGCTTTCTCGCCGTTCTCGTGGAACAAAAGTTTTCAATACGAAAGAAGCTCTTCGCGGGGCGCACAATAAAGTCTGCATCAACCGAAGGTTCAGAAAAGAAACGTCCCCCTTTGAGGGCTGGAGAGAGGTCAAAATAATAAATGTCGACTCAATTGAGCTTCTCCAAGCGCACAATGAGGACCAAAACGTAACACCGAAGCAGCGCGGACCCTCGTGGCGTGATAAACTCATTTAAAGAACTCCTAAAGAAAGAGAGCGCAGCATGGGTCCGCGCTGGGTGATTTGGGAGGGGCTCCTGGGGGTGGGATTTTTCCTCTCCTGCAAGTCAACCACACTCTCTCTTGTATTCCCTCCGACTTTCACCCTATGTATTCTACTTTAGTGTCCACCAATGCCTTCTGTCTTTTAACAGCCCTGCTCTGCTGTCAGAAATGATTTATTTTCCTTAAAACATCACACGGGCCTCCACTATTAGACCTAAAGTACAACACAGGGATACAGTAGCTTACTTACCCGAGAGCAAAGGGTTCAAATTAGTTACCCAGGAGTCCAATGATTCGTTCTCCATATAAAGGACTGCTACTGTAACAGTAACCATGCATATTCCCGACAGGCTGACACTGTGGAAACTGCAGTTCTTGATTTATAGTACAAATTGCTATAATGTAAAAGTGACTTTTTAATGGCTTGTCGAAATGGTTGCTCCGGAGAACCTGCCCAAGTGTCAAATGAACAAGATCGCACATATTTTGTTATGTTTCAATTTCTGAAACCATATGAGTGAGCCTTTCCGCCCCAGTCTTACTTTGTCAATGCACAATACAATACATTATCCATTTTTGTAAAAAAAAAAAAAAAAAAAGAAGAAAATAAAAATACTGTTCTGTTTGAGTGCCTCTTTGAAAGGCCTGATCAATGTCGTTCTATAATTCAGTTTAAACACTAAACCCAATGAAAAAGTCTGCTCCATCTTAATGGTACAAAGTCTCCTCCGTGGGTCACCAGAGGACATCAGGCAACATACAGCAGCTTGAGAAAATATTTAATTATTTAAAAAAAATTGTCAACATAGATTTGCAGGCCTCCTTTGACTCTTCACGTGTATTTTTGAAAGATTTGATTTTAAATGGAATTAAGTAAAGCTGTAAAAAAAGGCAGTTTCATGTGTATTTGGGGCTTTTTTTTTTTTTTTTTTTTTTTTACAGAAGCAAGATCATGCAGTCACTGAGAGGACTCCTAAACATTTTTGCCATCCAGCTGAGCGTGTCAGATGAAAAAGAAGTGTTTGGTGGGGTGGGGATGGGGATAGAAGGGTCATCTGACAAATATTTTCATTATCTCACATTCTTGGCTGCAGAGACTGTCGGAATATCGCCACTCGTCTCTGCTTTGAATTATGCCCTGGGGCCCAACAAAAACAAGCAGCAACAACAGGCAAAAGATGAACCGTGGTCAGTGGAATTAATAACATTCATGACCCTTAAATAAGCCCCTCCCCCCGAGCATTTATGATATTATTTATACAGTATTTTGATTATTCTGTTTACCTGAGAACATACAGTAAGACACATTGATCAAACCTGAAAAATATTTTTTCCTGAAGCTTAATCATATCGAATATGCATTAACGAACTCAAGAGCATAATTTTCAGTCAAAACATTGATTATAATCTTTAAAAAAATTATGCTTAGAGGGGAAACATCTCTCACTGTCTTTAGACAAATGCCTCATTAGCAAAGATGTGGGGATTTTAATAAGGTGGTGTTTTTCTTTCTTTTTGGGGAGTGGAGGGGGAAGCAGTATTTCAATAGTAATCTATGTATAATTCACTATGGTAACTTTGAACTTGTAAGTTTTTGATTAATATAAAAAAAATAAAAATGAGCAAAAAATAAGATAATCAGCAATATAAATTTACTTCTTTTTCAAGCAATACTACAACTTCGAGTAACTTTACAACACTTTTCTCGTAATTTCAGTAGCAACATTAAAGGGGAGCCAACACCCCAAATTTTCTTTACAAAAATATGTTCAAGGAAGCTTAACTACTTTAAACATGACATGAAGTAGCAAAATGCATCCGTCTGTAACCATCTCAGGGGGCAGCCATTTTGCCATTTGCCATCAACTGAAAATGACATCAGAGTTTCTCAGGTGAGTAACTCTGATGTCATTTTCAGTTGACAGAATGTAGCAAAATGGCCGCCACTGATATTAAGGCTAAAAACGGGTGGATTTAGCTGCTTCACTCAAATTTCACAAACGCAATATGAATCAGAATGCCGTGTATAGACTAGTCAAGGCGCATAGAACATATTGTAAAGAAAATTTGGGGTTTGACTTTGTCTTTAAGAGTGTCAATAATTCCATTTAATAACAAAAAATACATTAGTCATAGAAAGGGTTACAAATTTTATTATTACAACTGCTTCATTGAACAATTTACAGTACACGATACATCTTATCAACAACTTGAGGATCTCCAGTGGGATACATTGTGGTGATCTTCAAACATGCATTTCTATATGTTGCTGTGAATGATCAGTGGTGGTAGAGATCATCCAGATCTTCCTCCGGTTCGTCATAATTCCTATCTGACTGCCATTCAACAGGAGCAGCGGCGCTGTCATCATCTTGGTAACTTGGCAACCAGCTCTGCATGTCAGGATGGTGCAAGTCATCCATGTCTTCTTCAGGCTCCAGGTGATCTCTCACCTGTTCAAGGGGTTGTACAAGTCGAGCCATTTTGTATTCAGCGGTGAGCGGGGCAAGATATTCATCTAGTTGCACTCGGGCTTTGTGGTAGACGGCATCCCAGTCCTGCTCCTCTTCTTCATATTCAGCCGGAACCTTCTTTATAGAAGGATGTTGAATACCATCTAAGTCCACTTCTGCCACCAGGGCCCGTTTTTCCTTCCCTGTGGCGGCTACATCCTCCCAGATCTTCATTTTGGGGTCAATGTCATCGTCAGTTTGATCCATTTCCTCCGGAGGCTCTACTTCCACACTCAAAAGCATATTTCCGACTTCTGACCTGCAATAAGCATCCCAACATGTCAGAAAGAGAGTTCATAAGAGGTGGAAATTTTTCATTACCGTAATTTTTTTAGTTATCTATACTTTGAGTATGTAGTTCTCTGATTTTTTTTTTTTTTTTTTTTTTTAACATTTATTCCGACACCTTCAGATCAACTGTACGAGCTTGTTATGTTTTTCGACCTGCACTGATGACAACACCACGTAAAAAGGTGTCACGAGGGCTCATCGAGGTAGATATTGACTGAGATCTTGGGGACTTATACATTTAAATATCAAAACTACAACTGAGATGAAATATCTCAAATCAAGGCAACCTCATTTCAATTCTTACCAGGCAGTTTTAATGTAACAGCATTTCACTTCCGAGAACTGTTTTTTTTTCCCCCTTGTTAAGAAGGCATTATAAATTGCTATTGAGATTTCATTACTGGTTATGAGGAAGTTGTATGAACCTTATTGAAGGAAAATGTTTGACTGCCGGCTCCAAAAATACGCCATCTAAACTGAACTAAAAATAAATAAATAAAGACAGTCAGGTAAATTATATTAATTTGGTTGTCATCGTTTGTCAATTTAGTTAGTTTTTTTTTTTTTATCAGTTTCTATTTACGAAGATAACAATGCAGTAGGAAGACATTTGACAGCATAATAGTCTGAACCGATGCGAGCTACGTTTAGAAGAC